TTAAACATTGGGATTATGACACCAATCCCATATGCTCCATGGTGCTGGTATATTTACCTGGGAAATATTCCATACCTGGAGCACATGGGAATAGTGGGTATGGTATTAACCATTAACATTGGGATTATAGATAGTGATTATATTAGTGGCGACCTTGACTATTAACATTGGGATTACTAAACCTTGGGATTATAATGGGATGCTTCATGGGGTCATAAATTGGGATGATAAACTGAGATTATATAAAATTGGATTGGGATTATGATGGGATATCAACCCCCAAATAGTGGGATAATAATGGGATTACAATGGGATATATGATATATAACTGAAGATATCTGGACACAAATGGGATATATAACGACCCCAAAAATCAACATGACGACCCTGCCATCAGTCGGGGTTGGAAGATAACTTTTCACTGAACATATCTGAACATAGTCTATTTACAGGGTCCAGCTGTTAATAATTTGTTGGAGGGCACAACCATGTATAGCAGGTATATCTAAATAAGTGCTTGGATATCACAAAATTGCAGAGAAATCGCCAAGACACCCAGGCAATGTGGGTGTCGCTTGAGGGCTGAGTCATGCTGTCAAATGTCACAGATGTAAATTATGGATGTGTCATGATGTGTCTGAACATGTGAACCATAGGTTGGCCTGTAAAAAGAGGGAACATTATGAAACCTTAGAGTCCTTCAACATGTTTTTATCCTGCGGTTGGTGGTTTCAACACAGAAAAACGAAACCACCAACCAGATCGTAGTGTGGTGGGTGCAATATCATGTTGTATCATTGTATCATGTACGATCTGGGTCGATATTCAACTCCAAATTGCTTGGATTTACCCTTACCATCCAACATGACAATCCTGCCATTTTTGTTGCCAACAAGGGCGAGTTTCCGAAGTATGCACATCTCTATAGGGTTTCTTCCTCTCAGTTGGGGGTGATGGTAACCACCGAAAAGAACATCACCTTGGTACCACCATCACCAAGCGAGATAACTGCTGCCCCGCGACTGCACCCTGCAACGAGGCCAATGAAGGCCTCAGCGAGCAAGGCCGCGGGCCGCGGGCAGCCCCACTTTGTTTCATCCATGTCCTTTACCTATAGTAACATATTGTAAACCACATGAAGAAGAAACATATGCCGCCACATTTTATAGCAACCTATATCTATAATCCCAATCTTCATGGTTAATACCATACCCACTATTCCCATATGCTCCAGGTATGGCATGTTTACCTACATCTTTTTTTGGGGGTTGCTAGTTGCTAATAGCTGCTTTGCTAATAGCTGAATGATATGAATATATGGCCAGCTGGGAGATCTAGATCCGGGGGCCCGGTCGAGGCCCGAAACGGCAATGTTGGTTTAGTTACAAAAACTCTTGGGTTAATTAGGGGGATATATCAGTATAACAGTATATCATTGTACTACATCTATACTTAGGTGTGGTGAAAAAAACCAACCAACATAACTGGACTGGGGGACCCAATATGTAAGAAACTATATAATTTCACCTTGTGGAAGTCTTGCTAAGCTACTTCGCTATGGTCTTAGAAGGCTTCCCCATAAGACCTTCAAAATACCAATAAGAAATAGAGGTCAGTTTGTAGGAACACATTCACATTCTGAAAACGCGTAGTTTTGGATGATTTTTTGTGGGTCAATCACCTCGACACTCTTGGCTTTTGGGGAGGATTGGTGGCAATTGGAGGGGTTTTCCAATCTGAAGATAACTGTGACAATATCTGTTTAGGTTTTATATGGACGTTTCCTAAAATAGGGGTACCCCTAAATCATCCATTTGTCATCGGATTTGCCATGAAATAAACCATCCATTTGTGGTACCCCCATGATTTGTGGAACCCCCTAGACCTACCTATCTGAAATATACATATATATACCCTCTAGTTATTTAACATAGCCATGGAAAATGGCCCATTTATAGATGGTTTACCTATTAAAAATAGTGATTTTCCATGGCTATGTTAAATAACCAGATGGTATGTGTATATATATATACACACGAAACTGCCTAAACTTCAGGATCTTTCCAGATCTCGAGCAACCCGGCAGGAGAGCTCAAGAAATCGTCGTCCTCGTCTCCTGAGGATTTGAGGATTTGTTGCGGATGGATGCGAGTCCAAAAATGAACAATTCCCAGGACCTATATATATATATATATATCCAGCACCATGGAGCATATGGGTTATATATATATATGACATATTGGAATAACGACATCAATTGAAAATGGCCCAACATGTCTTCGGCAGACACTATACTATTTTTGGGCGTTTGCACTCCAGTCGTCTCAGAGAAGAGTTTTGCTTGGTGCCTCAGCCATTTATGAGGCGGTGCACTTTGCAGCGCCTATTGGCAACATGTTTGCTCCAAGCGGATTATTCTTTGGTACCAATCTTTCGTTCGATCCGCGGAGGGAAAAACTCTTGACACTCTTCGAATCTGCATCAAGACAATGTGTCGCAGCTTTGGGAGAAAGATCGAGAAAGGCGGACAGTGGCTATACCTCATCTAATGTCACCACTGTATTCTCACATCTGGTGGTTCATTTGATGACCAGGAATTTGAACGTGCGCCAGTCCCAGGGAAGATCGAGTTTTTACAGGCTCACCAGAGGGTCGGTCACTACCTCACTCCCACCCAACCCCCCCTATGCATTGCTGCTCGATTCATGTCCCCATGGGCAAAACCTCACTTTGTACCGGGCGACTGCCAGCAGAGTGAGCAACTGCATATCCACATCAAATCTGTGTCTCCATGTGTCTCCCAAAACAGGGTTCCCCTATTAGTCCGATGGTCCATCATTCGTCGATAAAGCCCAATTTCAGATGTACCCAAAGCTGACAAGGAGTCCCAACAACCCTTTCTGCCCTGGTTTTCAAAATCCGGCTATGTGCCGATGGCTCTGCAGCTCCAACAAAATAGCCTTTCGAGGATTCATCAAATTCTTCACAGCACTGTCATTTCCCATGAGGGTATCAGCTAAAATTTCTCCCCGTGGTGTAGCGAACACCTCCTGATTTCAAAAAAATAGTTCTTATCAGCCGTGGACCGACAAAACTAATATGCAGATTCACCACCAACGAAACAATCAGGTTGAGGGTGTTTGTCACTAATTTGCAACCATCTGGATACAGTATTTATTCAAGGTCATTTTGGGAGATCATTCTCCTTACTATTTGCATCATTGGCAGTGGTGTGGGCCTGTGAGGTTGTTATAATATTATAATCTACCCATGTATTATTTATTATAATATATATATATATATATCAAATATTATATATGCATATAGATCACATAGACATGGATATGATATATTCAGATTGTCAAAAAAATATAATCTTGTTCATCAAAGGTTTCTACCCGAAATATTCCATACTAAACCATAGTGATTCCACATTTATCCCATGTATGACGAGCAGTGCAAGAACTCATTGGCATGCCTGTTCCGTTGGTCTCCGTCTCGTTGTCGGTGTTGTTGTCGCCTAAGAGAAACAACAAAACACGGGTGGCGGAACGTTGGGCACAATCTGATCTAAATGTTGCCATGGCTAAGCTGTCCCTAGATCCAACGGATTCAGAACATCGTCTTCCAGAAATTTGAGACATTGTCGGCTTCCAACTGCTCAGTAAAATTAAGAAGGCACTTTAAAAAATCAACAAAAAGTTGTTCATCCACGGGTTTGTCCGAAAATAGGGTAGCCCAATAGGCCCAATATCCAGTCTTCTAGAACCTCATTCTCTACAGTCAAATGATCATGAATGTAGAGAACATCCCCAGACGGCGAAACAGCGACTGCCAGGGACCAGGTGCCCGAGGGTTTCTGAGTGCTCCGGACCATCTGGTTTGACCTCAGTCGCCGGGGTTGTCCACGCCAAAAAGGGTCTCGCCAGGGGGGGGTTCAAACAGCCAGGATCTGTGTCAGAGTTCTGTTTCGTTGGCTTGGTTGAAGGGAACATGTTGAGGAAAACCCTATATCTAATGGAAAATCTTTATGGTTTCCGGTTCAGCTGCAGGAACCCCGATCCAAGCTGTGTTCAAGGTACCAACATCTGAGGTAGAAGATGTTGTTCTTTTTTTTCTGTTCACAATGTAATGGCTAAATCACCCATGCGAAGATGTGTTTGAAGATCCTTGAAGCATCCGATTAACCTGATTTGAAGATCAACTTCCCATAGTCTAATTCTATCCCCATGTACCGTTGGGATACTCAATTCGTAGCTCGAACTCGCTCCTGGCTGATAGTGAATACAGGAAATGACCATTGGTGATGGCTGAACTAACTCTGGTTACCAATCACCTACTAACTGGGATACACATCTAAGTAGCTATGATAGCTATGGAAAATCACCATTGTCCCATTTGGTATATTGGGGTTTCCATAAATTTGGGTACTCCAAAAGCTGGATAGTTTATTTCATGGAAAATCAAACCAAAAAAAAACAATGGATGATTTGGGGGTACTCCCAATTCTTAGAATCCCCCGATATATATGGTGGATCAAAATTCTGGGTTTGGTTAACAATAGTGTTTCATACCATCATAATTGTGGTGTTAATGCCGTGAAAAATGTTATTAAACTATTATCCCAAAGAATATCGGAAACATAGATATCATTATAGATAACCATCGCCAACCATCGCCAATCGCTGTCCCAGGCACCACAGACACTTGCGTGCCGTCTGGCCTTGCGAGTCGTAGAAACCATGCGTCAGTGGAGTGGTTTGTTGGGGAAAATCTTCACCGGAAACATCTGGAAAATCAGGAAACCATGGATTTTCCCGAGAAATATCAGGAAAACCTACTGTAAATTGAACCAGCGGAACTACTTCAATGAATTGAGTTCCAATTTGACGTTTCAACCAACAAACACAACAATCAGCTGGATATTTATGGTGAAAATAATTCAAAAAATAAAATTGATGTACTGAGCCATTCATCCAGAAAAAAACATGTCAGCCAATCGGGATTCATCTTAGATTGTCATTCAAGTTGGGCTGAATGCATGTATGTATATATATATATTAGTATATGTTATTATATTATATTATATATCATATGATATTGTATGATATGTTAATATATCATATTACATTACATTAAAGAATACTATAATATTATATTATATTATACTATATTATGTTATATTATATTATATTAAATAACATATATATACACATACACACATGTATTTACACCACCTATTTGAAACCGCCAAAACAGCCGCGAGCAAAGGGAAATCAGGTCTACGCGGAACGATGTCATCCTTCCAAGTGGGATAACTCACAAACCATTGCCCCTAAATGGTAAATTGGTGCCCCAACACAGAAGATGTGTAATCTGTGCTTTGGCTCTCATCCAAACATCATGTGTTGGAGCTGTCAACCACGATTCAACTGTCAGAAAATGATAAACCTCTTTGTTTACTGGCTCACTGACCATATTTCATTCCTTTGGGTGTGTCTGAAAATGGGTTGTATACCCCAAAGTAGCAATTTCAATGATGAAAATAAACGACGTTTAACCATCAAATGTTGGGGTGTTTTCTCCTCCCCCAAATAAACATAGACCCTGTCAAATAAGTAGGGGGGTTGAAGATGAAATTCTATCGAACAATTGGCTACTTTCAGGGTCTATGCCAATTTGGGGGATGGTATATCTTATTTTCCAGATATCTTGAGTTACATTGTATATATCCAATCACAATCCCATCATAATCCCATCAGAATCACATCCTAATCCGATCATAATGACATCATAATCCCGTCATAATCCCATTATAATCTCATTGCATATAATCACATCCTAATCCCATCATAGCTCCATTATAATCCCATTATAATCCGAGTACATATATTCTCATCATAATCCCGTACAATCCGATGATTGGTTAGTCCCAAACCCATCTTGGAAGGAGCACACAGAAGATCTTAGGCCCCAGCTCGCCGATTAGATACAGAATATCGCGCGTCATGCGAGACGTCACAATGCCTGTGATGCATCGGAACGCTGAGATCTGCTGAGTTGGAAACCATGAAATATCCCAAATGTTGCATGGACATTAAAATTATTTAACATGGTATTATTATACATGATTAAAGACCACATTCTATGAATCATATTCCATAGTTCCATAATGTTCCATATTATATCCTGGTTATTTCCCATCATTGTTCTATTGGAGTTGGTGTATGTACGTATGGGAACAAACCGATGATATGGGTATCTGCCCTGGTCAAGTTAGATAGTATGAATGGACCCCCTGGACATGAATGGGAATCGACCATCCCCCTATCCACCGTTTTAACCATGGCACGTACCCTCTGGTAAACGTTTACATAACTATGGAAAGATCCACCATTTTATAGCTGGGTAAATCAACTATAAAAATTAAATGGCAATTTTCAATAGCTATGTTTGTTTACCAGAGGGTATGATTATTTCAATACAACTGCTTGGTGGATTTATTTTTCAAAGGTTCCATTGGGAAATGCACAAAATCATGGGGATGGAACCACCGAATGGGGATGGCCCTGTTAGGCTTTATGTATAGGCCTTGCCCCTACCGAATCTTAAGCATCCCCAGGACTCGACCGATGGGAGTTGACTTCACCAATGATTGGGAGCTGTGCCATGTTGTACCAAGAAAAATGGCTGGATATGGCTATCTAAGCCAGCGATATGGGAAATAGATGGGAAATATGGAAATATGGAAATCAGCCCAAGAAATGAACTCGCTTCACTCGCAAAGTATAGGACGCACACACACACACACACGTTCTGATCAGTGTGGATAGTGACAAGCTTGACCCATCCATACCCACGTCAGGAAGTTGTCAAATAAGATACCACTCTGACATGCTGTTCTCACATCAGATCTAGGTCTCACACCTAGAAACACGTGAAAAATACCTTACTTGGATTGATCCCCAACCGCACACATTTCTCTGACATAGTTTCTGACATATTTTCTGGAAAATATTTGGCATATATATATAATATATTATATATATATACATATATTAGGACATTCTATCTGGCATTCTATCTGGCATTGTTTCTGGATGTTTCTGGCATATACCCTGACATTCTATCTGGCATTTGTTCTGGCAATCTACCTGGCATAATTTCTGACATTCTTTCTCACATACTTTCTCGTGTCTATTCTGACATTCTTTCTGGCACGATATGTGGCATCGATTCTGACATTCTTTCTGGCATCTATTCCGGCATTCTATGAAGCATCTATTCCCGCACTCATTTTGGCATTCATTTAGGCATCTATTCTGACATTCTATCTGAAATTTGACATTCTATCTGACATTCTATCTGGCATCTATTCTGACATTCTTTCTGGCATTCTATCTGGAAGCTATTCCAACATTCTGTCTGGCATTCTATCTAGCATGTGTTCGGGTCCAGGCATGCCCAGCTGCATCCAGAGCTGGCGATATGGCTCGGGTTCAGGCGTGCACAGCTGTCTCAAGAGCTCGCGATAGTGTTCCAGGCGTGCCCAGCTACATCCGGAGCTCGCTGAATGGCTCGGAAAGACAAGGCTGACATGACATGAGGCGGAGATGACAACAACAAGAGGTAGGCGCAAGAGGAAGAGGGGAGGAAGAAGGAGGAGTTGCACCTTTGTTAAAATCAGAAACCCTCACCTGGCAGGTGGGGAAAAACAAATCACATCAAATCACCATTCAAGGGGATCCAAAACCAAAGTTGTTTTGGGTCTGATATCTGACATGGTCTGATGTAGTGATGACCTCAACTTGTGAATATGGCCCCACAACGCCAACTTGTATCCACTTGTCTGGTAGGGACTCATCACTATACCATACTGTACCCATGTCTATTGGTGATATGTTCTATCGTTTTGTCATGTTGTTTGTTGATTGCATTTTCGTGTTTGCTGTTCATACATTTTGTTTTTGATCTTTCAAATCCATCTTTGCATATGTTTGCCCAGCATGTCTCTTCATTGCACTCCACTTAGCAGCTAACAACGACCTAAACATATCCCCATCATTCCCCATCATTGATTCCTTCCGGCACTGCCTGTGGCTTCAATCCCAGAGGAAGAGACCAACGCCAGAGCGAAGACGCGTTTGAACACATCGCCTCGGATCCGCAACACGCCGCTTGGATTTGCTGATCTTAAGGGGCTCCAACAAAGAAGACTACTCCCTAGAGATTCCCCGAAATGGTGGATTTCCGATTATAGGAATGTTTAAACATTTATCTTACCCGGATCCCTCCGGTAGTCAAACATAGCAATCAAGAATCTCCTAGGTAAAGCTGATTTCCCCAGCCATAAACATCCATTTATGGGGCATTTCCCAGCTTGCCACCGTTTGATTACCCAGGTAAATCATTCACATTTCTCGAATGTCTACCATCGGGTAAACTAACATGGCTCTGGATAATCGCACTTTTTAATCAGTAAATCAACTGTAAATGACAATTTTCCATAGCTATGCTAGTTGACCAAAGGGTAACCATGGCTGGGGTACCCTGACTGGCATCTGGATCCGTCACAGCGAACTGCAGCATGAGCGCTTCGGCGTCGTTGGCCACCTGGGGGTGGGGTTCCAGGAAATCAAATATATAGATAAGCAGTATACAACTATAGCTGGTTGGTGGTTGACCTACCCCTCCGAAAAATATTAGTCAATGGGAAGGATTATCCCCAATACATGGGAAAAAATGTTCCAAACCACCAACCATAGTTAGGATATGTTACGATTATATCCCAATTAATGGTGGTATTTACCATGGTTATATCTGTATATCATGGTATATCTGTTAGTAGCGCTTGGGTGAACTTCACAAAAGGTGTGTCCGAAACCAGGGTTCTCCCTTCATTTTGCTGACTATTTTCCCAATAAGTGGTTTTAGTTGGTTCAACCACAAACAGGTTTTTCCAAAATGAAGGTAGACAGCCACAAGATCACTGTGTTTTTCCTGTATTTGGGCTTGTCTGAAAATTGGAGTTCATCATCATTTTCCATGTTTTCCATGTAGAAAATGCACTAAATTGATGGTAAATACACCATCATCGGCTCCACACCCAAATCATACTATATGATTTATCTATATTATAATATTATATATATATCCCATTCAACCTCCCATCAAATATCACAACCTCTCATCAAAATCCATCAAATCTTCCCATTTTCAATGGTTAAACCATGGTTAAACCAGCCCAACATGGTTGAACTCCAGCATTTTCAGGTCCCTGCTTGCTGCATTTGGGGTTAATAATTGTTATAACCATGGTATTAATGGTTATAACCATGGTAATAACCTTCATAAGATGGGATATCACCCTTAGAACATCTTCGAACTATAGTATACTATACCCTCTGGTAATTTAAGAGTTTGCTATAGAAAATAGCCCATAGAAATAGTTGATTTACCTATTAAACATGCTGATTTATAGTTAATAACAATTTACCAGAGGGTAATTATAGAGATTTACCTATTTATAAGGTGATTTACCTATTAAACATTGTTATTTATAGCTAAACATTGTGATTTTCCAGTTCGCAAACTGTCTGTTCACTTCGTTTACTGCGCCCTTGGGGTTTCCCTCGGCGCCTTCACGGTGAAGTTCACCGACGTCGCCAGCGCCTCTTGCAGCTGCCGTGGCGATTCGGCCAGTGCCAGTGCCGCCAGGCGCCGGCCGCAGGCGGCCAGGTCGACTGCCATCATCTCGGCGGCGGGCGGTCTTCGGCGTGAAGGCTGGTAGAACGGGGATATCTAGAGTTGAGGATATATATAAAATTATATATATAGTATGATATAGTTTGTTTTTTCCCCGAATTTCTAGATTTTACCACATCCCGCCGGATTAAGAAAGAGGCACACACACACAGCACACCACAATGACTCGATGGCCAGCTTCCATGTCAGCATGTCATCGTCACGTTACGTGCCAGTCTTTGTACACAAGGTTGCTTCCTCTTCACAGCCTCTCTATGGCGAGCTCGCTGGCACAACCTAAAGTCAGATAACAGATAAGCTGTCAGAAAGAATATCAGAATATACGTCAGATAGAATGTCAGAGATTATGTCAGAAACAGCTACCCGACAATGTCATGCCTAAGTCACTCCTTTTGCTTTCCCCGCTTGTGAACGCAACATCACAAAGTCATGCCTAAGTCATGCCTTTTGGCCTTCCCCCATTGTGAACGCAAGCGTCAAAATAGCCCTTTCCAAATCAGAACCTTTCACTTTCGCTTCTTTTCCTCCCTGCCCTTGCGATTCAATATTCTTATTTGCCAACTTTCTTCCCCAAACAGGCTTATCTGTATGGGGTTCTCAGTAAGAATTCTGTAAATAAATGCTAGGTAGCTATGGCCCCCTTGCACAGAAAGAGGCCAAAGCAGTTTGTAAGTTCTTACTCCTTTGAAAGGGTTGCAGTCCTGGGTCGCATGATTTTGCTTCTGTCTCTGGGCTTGCATTCCTGGTATGCTCTCTGACTACGGTCTGGGTGCTCTGGACCGCCTGGTTATACACATATGTTATACACTTGTCTCCCACTTGTGTCCTACTCACCTGCATGTCGCATGATGTGCCTAATGTGCCTCAACAGCGCCCAGCAGCACTGGACAGGCAGAGACAAGAAACAACGACCAAGCAAAAAGAGAGACCAGCTGCAGCAAACATCCGCCAGCAGCACCTGCCCAAAGAAGAGAGCAAGAGGGAGGCAAGAGCACCAACCAAAGATACCAAAGAGCAACCAAAAAGGGCAGGGAAGGGGAAAGGACCAGGAAATCTAAGCCAGAACATATTTCATACATAATGACAAATAAAATGTCAAACATACATGACATGCCAAATAAATAAATATCAAACAAAATGTCACAAAATATCTCAGGTAGTATGTCCGACTACATGTCAGATAGAACGCGATATAACATGCCGCCAGGTAATATGCTGGGTAAAATGTCAAACATAATGCCAGATAAAATGTTCGAATAAATGCCGATAAAATGTTAGAACATATGTCAGGGTATATGCCACGATGGGAATCAAGAAAGGTAAGAATTACATGGAAACACTAGCAGGCTGAATTGAAACATCCATCTTATGGTTTGATTATATAGTTGAATTTAATGGGAATATTAAAGGGATATTTGCCCTTAAGTTCACATTTTTCAGGGCAAGGAAACCCACCGTCCCAAAAAAAGATGGGTAACCGCCGTGGTATATCGATGCATCAAACCATGGAAAATCCTGAGCTGGGGCAAGGAAATCATGACGTCATGTAGATCTCCACTTTCTATGTTTACAGCTCTCATCCCTATGTCCTGTGATTTTTCTTGGCTCAATTGTTTAAACGCCAAATGATGATGATATCTACCATCACCCAAATGGATGTAATGTAGTACGCATCTACCAACACACGGAATCTAAAAAAAACCTGCAACAACTCTGATGACTGACTTCAGCCCCTCCGAAAAGCAATAGCCATTCGGTTCATCATCTCAAACATGGTACTGTATAGAACATCAGCATGCCTGAAGCGAGAAATTCATAGAAATTCGACAAATTTATAGATGAATTAAAATGATTAACCCACCCGAAAAGTTCAGCCATTCTGGGTTATCCCAATCCAAAGCATCATTCCAGCGACATCGCGCCGTGAGGTTGAAACGTAATTCATCCAAATATATTCAAATATATCCATATTAGATTATATCCTATTAAATCACCATGAATACCACTATTTTTGTTGGATCATCCATGATCATCCCGTTGTTCTAAACGGTGTTAAAACCCATGGTAAAACCTAGTTTTCGCCCACCAGGTGAGGGTATCTATAGACTTTAACAAATAATTTAATGAGGAAATCTTGTCTTTCTCCACCTTTCTGTGGCTCCATTTCGCGCTCCCCAACCCTTCAAAGGGCACCGCACCGCATCCGCATCCAATGGCACTTGCCCTGCGGAAGAGAGCGCCATGACCTGGGGAAGCGTTGGTTGTGTTGGTTGTGTTGCTTCTATGGCCTGGGAGATATGTTTTGGTAGATGGATGATTTACCCTCCAGTAAATTAACATAGACCCTGGCAGACAGGGGTTGGAAGACTAGTTTCCACTATAAATTGGTGATTTTCAGGGTCTATGTTAATTTACCAGAGGGTACATATCAATGGGAATTTCAGGGTCCTAAAATGGAGGTACGTTAGTACCATATAAGGCGATATTTTGTGGTGAAATTCCGAAAATATGAAGGTTTCATGAAACTAAGGGTACCCCCATATTATGGATGGTTTATGTCATGGAAAATCCGAAAAGAAAATGGATGATTTAGGAGTACCCCTATTTTAGGAAACCACCATATATGGACATGTATGGTTTTATGGATACTTCATGATATGTTATGGATAGCAAGTAGGTCCCTTGTCAGAATGGATGTTTTACTGGAAAAAACGTGAAACTAAATGGCGACTTTCCGGCTAGCCACGCGTGATTGCTGGAAGGTATATCTTGGAAGTCGGAGAATTCCCATTCAAGCGCTGTAATCATAAGATATCAAAAAAAATCATAAGATTATATCAGATTCATCAGAATCCCTCGTCCTGAGAATAAAACATATCAATCCACACGAGGTGGTGTGGTGGTGCCCCCCACTGATGCTTCGTGGTTTATAACACGTTCTGACCCCCACTGGTTCGATATATCTAAATTCGCCAAGCCTGCGCCCCGTCAGGACTGCAAGCGACCTGGGACCCTTAACCCATCGACATCGTGAGACCTGAGGCTTTGACCAAAGCTAAGCTGAGATCGCTGAGAAATCGCTCCTTGAACTGCGTGCACAAGGTGTCCTGCGGAATCCGAGTCTCCCAGTCCAACTTCAAAGCCTGGTGAGTTTCTGATAGTTTCTGTGTAGCATTCTGCTTAGATCCTGATCCCAACATATCCCGTTGCCCCTGTTCGAAAGATTTTTTCGGACCAAGGCTTTTCAGAGATCCAGACCCTCAAAATGGTATCAAGATCACGCAGAAAATGCTCCCCACATGCTGAATGGATGAGCAAACATTCCCCCAACGCTCCGCGGTGATGGTGCTGGGAAGGTTCAACCTAAAGGGCACATGACACCGACATGTCCATGTAATTCCCATGTGCATTTGGCTGAAAATAGGGTACTCGCAAATTTCATGGTAATTCCCCCCCAGAAACCAAGGTTGAGTAGGGGATTTGCACTTATTTGGGACCATTAGGGGCATGGGACTCACCTGTATTAAAGTAGCCTTAAAGTGGAGGTCCTCCTGGGGCTGATTTTCCAACGCAACGCCGAAAGGGAGGCCCAAAGGGATAATCCCAGATCAAATGACTACAGATGGAATGCTACGGATCAGAATACCCCTAAGGCCCATTCAGAATGGAACAATGTTAATATGCAAAAAAACAAACTCAAGTCTGTGGTCCCCCAGTCTTCCCCAAACTTTTTCATCCGTACCCCCCAGCTCAGAGTTGTGAAATATCGGCCCCCACTACGGGCCGGTGCTTTTCATGGTACCCCCAAACGTTAGCTATATAGTTAAGTTGTATAATATATATATATATTGAATAGTTGATATCTCGCTATAGATATGGTGATTTTACACTAAAAACTTCAGGCTGAGACATCTACCATGTATCCACGGAATCATCATAAATCCTACAGGATGATGCCCCCCTGTTATAAGTTGGTTTAGAAACCCCGTTATATATATATATATATGTATATCATTATATCATTCATGTTATATCTACCAGGTACCATAAACCATAGATGTCAGCAACTTTTTTTTGGTTGGCAACTTAGCTATCTTGGGGACCCCATCCTGTACCTTTGGTATCCATAAATCATGAGAAATCCCACGCGTTTCGGTGCCAGGCGTGAGTTGAATGGAGCCCAGCAAGGCCACCTGCCGCGTGGTGAGCGGTGACAAAAGTTGGCCACCCGAAAAGCGATAGAAACGGACTTCATGTTGATTTTAATTCCACATAAACTTAAAGTTCAAAGTTAATATCTTAACAGGTGTTCTTTCCAATCTTGATGTTTTCCTGAAGATTTCTCGGATGTTCCAACAAATGAAACCACCGGTAAACAACGGGGGGGTTGAACATCACGTTTACGCCACGTCGGTATACCGGCCATGTTCATTGGGAAAATGGTCAACCATGGGATAAAATTGGGTTTAATTTTCAGACCAAGCCATATATATATAGAAAACATGAGAAAACTCAGTGCAATCCGGGTGATTTTCAGCGCCCGAAAAAACACCTGACATATGACAGGTGCTTTTCCCTCACAATCCATGATACTCATCTTGTCTACTGGGTACATATTCGGTACATCACATACAATGTGAGGCCCCCAAGATAGCTAAGTTGGTTTATAAGCCCCAGTAACTATAGTTATTTGCGTGCCATAAACCATAGTTATTGGAGTTATAAACAAACTTAGCTATCTTGGGGGCCTCACATTGTTTTTGTATATATATATATATAGAGATTTGTCACTGGTATCTCATGGCAGATAATTTAAGGCAAACCATGCTGAACATGTGGATAGTGAAGCTTAGGAAGGGCCCACTAGCACAAGTACATCTGCTGGTAGTCGCTGATATAGGAGAGAGCGATATGCAACAATATGTAACAATAGAATCAGCAATCCATGGGTGCCGTGATTGTAATTTGGAGGAGTCAGCAAACATGATATGATCAGAGCATCATGGGGTTGTAGCTTATGGATCAAACTTTTTTCCCCACCTGCCAGGTGAGGGTTGTTAGATTTTATGTCAGTTGCCTCCTCCTCCTCCTGCATCGTCCTCCTCTCGTCCTCCTCTCCTCCTCCTCCTCTCCTCCTCGTCCTCCTCGTCCTCCTTGTCATCCTTGTCGTCCTCTCGTTGTCCTCGTCGTCCTCGTTGTCCTCCTCGTCCTCCTGCTCAACTGCGACTCGCGATCCACAGTGTTCTCTGCCGGACCTCAACCACGACCATCCACGCCCAGTGTTCCCTGCCGGACCTCAACCACGACCATCCACGCCCAATGTTCCCTGCCGGACCTCAACCACGACCATCCACGCCCAGTGTTCCCTGCCGGACCTCAACCACGACCATCCAGGCCCAGTGTTCCCTGCCGGACCTCAACCACGACCATCCACGCCCAGTGTTCCCTGCCGGACCTCAACCGCGAGTATCCACGCCAAGTGTTCCCTGCCGGACCTCATGTAGGAAGATATGTCAGAAGAGTGCCAGAAGAATGCCAGAAGAATGTCAGAAAATATGCCAGATAGATATGCCAGAAGATATGTCAGAATATATGCCAGATAGAATGCCAGATAGAATGCCAGATAGAATGCCAGAAGATATGTCAGAATATATGCCAGAAGATATGCCAGATAGAATGCCAGATTGAATGCCAGAAGATATGTCAGATAGAATGCCAGAAAATATGCCAGAAGATATGCCAGATAGATATGTCAGAAGATATGCCAGAAGATATGCCAGAAGATATGCCAGAAGATATGTCAGAATATATGCCAGAAGATGTCAGATAGAATGCCAGAAGATATGTCAGAATATATGCCAGAAGATATGCCAGATAGAATGCCAGAAGATATGTCAGATAGAGTGCCAGAAGATATGCCAAATAGAATGCCAGAAGATTTGCCAGATAGAATGCCAGAAGATATGCCAGAAGATATGCCAGATCATATGCCAGAAGATATGCCAGATAGAATGTCAAATAGAATGTCAGAAGATATGTCAGATAGAATGCCAGAAGATTTGCCAGTAAGAAAATGTATAAATGTCATGGTGGGGATCACACGAAGTAAAGTAATTTTAAACCAGATTTGCCCCGCCACATTGAATGGCTGAATACTAAAAATGACCATCTGCGCGCCACTTTCCCACTTGGTTTGTTGTTGCCACTGACGTGAGATGTCCCCATTGAGTCCCATTGAAAACAATGCATTTTCTTGCGGCAAAACAATGGGGAACTGTGATGCACAGTTAAATCAATGTATATATATATTTATATCTGGTTGATGGTTTTAACCATGTTGAAAATATTAGTCGATGGGAAGGACTATCCCATATATTATGGAAAAGAAAAAATGTTTGAAACCACCAACCAGGTATATTCATGCCCTGTTCTAATTTTGAGGTTTGACCCACACAAATTGGGATTCACCATTTTTTATCATACCACCTGAAAAGATCTGTTTGATCTGCATAGACACAAAAAAAAAAGTACCCGACTGAAAGTGGGTAAAGGCAGAAATTGTGCAGCAACATGCAGCAACATGCGATGGACAAATTGAAGGTCTCCCCAAAGCGCTCCAAACACCATCACCACGTATTTGCGGTCGAGTTTTTGGGGCCTAAACTCTTAAAAACAAATATCGGATGGTATTTGGAGCACTACCCATAGGATCCATGTATGGTATATATGCTAACTGCTAACATTTGGGGTATATGGATGGTAAATGTTACCATATGTAGCATACATGGATCCTATGGGCTATATATGGCCTTATTTGTCGAGGTAGGAGCCTTAAGAGTCGGAAATCTCGCCCCTTTTGTGCAAAACAGCGCTGTCATTGACTCCACTTTTGTTTCAGAACAAACACAGAATCCGCATGTACCCATTGTCCTAAACAAAATCCATGACATTTTCAGGACGTTATATATATATATATAGGTTGTATACTCACCATGGCCAATCTTAGATACTCTGCAACAAACGAAATTCTTAGCTGGTGAACGTAGATAATTATTGATACCAAAAGACTAACCCATATGCTCCATGGTGCTGGAATAGTTACCAACATTTGCCCGAACAAAATCACCCAGTTTTGTAGGTAAATATACCAGCACCATGGTTCGCATATGGGTAAAGGATTAGTTTCTACCCATCCAAGATTGGCCCCTGTCCCACCGTGTCATAGACCGCCATGCCATCGGGTGCACAGATCAAACCAGCGCGTGCCTAGGGCATCTTACGATCGACTCAGGCTGAGTCGAACCATAGGAAATCATATATTCGATTGGGGAATATTGATTATATCTGGTTGTAAAAATATATGGAATATTAATATAATCACATGGTTAAACACATATGGAGACTATATATATATAATATGTATATGGATTATTGTTGGGTAATATTAATCACATAATCCATATCTTAACCCATGATTTTGTGGGGTCCAATTGGGATATATGAACATATTCCATTGACATTGGAAATACTGTCCTTGCTGGTGCAGGACTAGGCTCAAAACTTCTCATACTTTATGGATGTGCTATGTGATTGAAACCCCCTTGTTGGGATATGGGGCTCCGATACTTGAACTATACATGGTGAAACATAACTATAACTGTATATCTATAGTAAATAACATACTATAACTATATAAAACTAAATACCTAGACTGTAACCATTATATTACCCGAATGGTTCAGTGGAACTCCCATTGGCAAATGCTACCCTTTTTTTCAACCTCGGTGACGAACTAATTTCGGTCCACCTGGGGGCGATTTTTCTGGTTGGTGGTTGACCTACCCCTCTGAACAATATGAATCCGTCAGTTGGGATTATGACATTCCCAATATATGGAAAACCACCAACCAGATATGTATACATATGTATTATATTATATATATATGTATTATATATAATATATCATATTAGTATAGAACAAAAGCAAAAAAACACATTCACACCTTTGGGCTTGCACGTTGGTTCCAACACTGCTTTACGACCCTGGTACCAGCGTAAACGTTATCATATTTGGATACCCAGTACCCTCCTCCTAAAAAAGGTCAAGTCAGCCGCCATCACCTGGGTCTGGCACGTCCGGTCCAAAAATAAGGGCTTTCCAAAAATCCAATCACAAACAGACGAATATGGCAATTCACAGACAAATATGGCAATTATGGCAACTATTCATAACTATTCCAATTCGAAACTGTTTTTTCACAGACAAACATGGCAGTTTGGGATCTGATCCAGCTGAAGTAGGATGGTTTGATAGTGGGCCACAGGAGTGATCAAAGTTCAAAGATACCGAAAGCACACAGAAAAACAACTGGTTCGCATATATTGCTACGATGCCCCCGTCATCTCACTATATGGCATAATATATCCTAAAAACATATCACCATGATGAATGGTTACTACACTTGGGTAATTCAACATAGCTACAGTTAAAATGCCCGCGCATCGGATCTGGCTGGAGGTGTTTGATCAGATTTACCTTAGTGATTGTCGAACAAATGTCACCCTTCAACCTGGCAAAATTGTCCTTTAGGAAGAATCCATGGGTTTTTTTCCTTGGTATATTGATGGAGATTTCCTCAAAATGGGGTTCCCAATAGCTGGATGGTTTATTTCAAGGAACATCAAACTAAAATGGATGTTAAAATGGGGGTACCCCCCATGACTTAGGGTTAACCACCATTAATGAATATGTATGAACACATTTAGTATATTTTAGTATCATCTACCGGGTCAACTAACATGGATCCGGAGCATCCATCAAGGGCTTTAGCGGCCAGGGCCCTCTGGGGAAACTGAGCCTCCGAACGCCTGTGTAGGTCAGCTTCCATTCCACTTCCGCTTCGTTTTCCTTTTGCACCACTGGACCACACCTGGTGGCCATGTCGCCATGTCACATGGAAGAAAATGGGGCTGAAAACAACCAGAATGGCGATTTGAATTAGAGAAATATAGGAAAATCATGAAAAATGATGGAAAATTATGTTTTTCACTGTTACAAATTGTAACTATCACATCTTTAGGAGTTTAGGGGTGTTCAAGAATTTGCAGACAAACCCGTCAATGAATGGATATACCCGAATTCATGTTCTTCGGAATTATTTTCATACTAAACATTTGTAGCGGTATATTTGGGATATATGTATCATGTTAACATTTCACCAACAATATACAATGTGAGGCCCCCAAGATAGCTAAGTTGGTGAACAAAACTCCAATATATAACTATGGTTTATGGTACGCAAATAACTATAGTTACTGGGGCTTATAAACCAACAAACATCACTGGGGGGCCTCACATTGTAGGGATGCAAATGGCTTTGTACACAGGATACCTGATCCAGCAAAGATGTCAAAGATGTGAGTGTTCTTCTAAACAGTGATGGAAAGGTAATTCCATTAAAAAAACATTACTGGTTGTAACAAAGAACAGGATTCCCAGCTCATGGATTATGATAATCTGCATCTCCAAAAAAAATGGATAGCATAATTCCCGAACTGTTCATGAACCTTGGTTTTGCAGCCTGCTCACATGCCTTTTCCATCCTGAAAGTTCATGGATATACAATAAGTTTTTCTCAGCGGGACCTACATATCATATGGTTGCTTCTGTCCCACTATACCCCCATTTGACATGTTTGTTTCTATATCCCAGTATATTCCTGTATCATATCCCATATCCTACCTCCATTTCTTGTGGGTAAGTTTGGCAAAGGTTGCATAGGATTGCATTGGATTTCTCACCACTTTTCTCATGACATGAGCAGTCTTCAAAACCATCCGTTGTCCCTTTATACAAGTTAGTTGCTAGGATTTCCAAAAAATGAATTGCGCAGATCTTCAATATCACAGTTTAAGCCCCAATGATCAACCATATTGTACATATATTTCCCCTATTCCCCATATATATGGGTAAATTATCCTATTTCACTAACCTGAGTTAAGGCCATTTGGGGATGATTTCCCTTACTAACCATGAGTGAGGTCGCAGTGAGGTCGTTGTAATTTACCCAAATATATGTCTCATTTGACTCAAGCCCCGCCGGTCGGATTCCCCAGTGCGCCTGAGCTGCAGCGGGTTCTCTAAGCCGAAGGCGGAGCCCGCCGGAAAGTATCCAGGCCTCAGGAAACGGTCCCCTTTGGGTCGCAGATCGGGACCAACGACTTGGGGATTTCGTAAATGTATAATGTATGTCTATAATATATATTTATAATAAATTAAAATAATAATAATAATAGTAGTAATAATAATAATATTAATATATATATATAAATATAATATATATATATATAAATAATACAATATATATATAACCTATATATATAATACAATATATATATAACATATATATTTATTATACATAATATATATATATACTCCATTTATATATATATTATACATTATAAATAAATAAATCATATATTTATTTTATACATAGTATATATATATATAAATAATATATATATATATATATATAATACATAATATATATATATATGTATATATACAATATATATATAACATATATCTAACATATATATATATAACATATATATATATATATATATATATAAAACATATATAAACATATATATATATATATTTAACATATACTAGACATAAAATACATACATATATATATATCATGTGCAAATAATTTTGGAAGATAGTTTCCAAGATTAGTAAGATGAATTCTGATATCAAAATTAAATATTTATGAATATATTTCGGGTGATTCCCCCAATCCAATTCCCATCATTCATGGCACTTAAATATTGGGATGGAAATGCATCACGTCAATCTGCGCCCAGTTCCTGGACAAGGATCTTCATACACACCATGTTTTTTTTCAACAGGGTTAACCACATTTTTTCAACCTCCAGTGTTACATGGTTTATACAGCCTATACCAGGGTTTTCCATGGGTATACGCGGACAGGTGACCCACTCAGCCTGGTAGATATTAATACTAAGTGCCACATCTTCACAGTCTGCTTTGCTTCAGAAAACTAGTATATATATATATGTAATTACATACATATATATATATATATATATAGAGTCTCAATTTTCTGACAAGAAGTCTCCGTCCTGCTATATTGTAGCATATGTATGCTGTATGTATGTAATTACGTATTTATGTACATACACACACACACGTGACACCCAAGTTACAAAGAGTTCTGCGCACTTGATGGACATTGCCGTCCGTGGCAGATGACTAACACTGCTGTTTCCGAGAAAACTGAAGTGATGCAAGTCTTTGCTGAGCGTGTAGATGTGACACCCACATGCTGCTCTCTTGCACTAGCTACTCGCAACTGATATATATATATATATAAATACATATCCAAACATCACATTGTGTATATTTCATGGGTTTAATTACATATCTATAAAAAAACATATCATAGCGTATCTAGGTCTTTTCAGATCACCATGTTTGTTGGTGTATTTCTTATTCTATCCTGTTTTGATGGTCAATTCCCAGTCCAATTCCAATCCATCAGCTGAGAATGGGGGTTTCCACCTGAATGATGATCATCCATGATAACCCAATTTTGGTAAAGGATAGAACGCCCTTACCCCAAACTAGCTACATCAATGGCCAGAAGAATTCTATCCCCATATGTTCCATGGTTTGAACCCAGGAGAAAACACTTCGCTAAGGAAGCCGCGGCCCATTTAGTTAAAGGTGGCAATGTTCCTAATATAATTCATTATAGTAAGTACCATTTTAGAAAATAGGTACATATCATTTTATGGAAAAAAAACACTTTGAACTATCAATGCTACCATGTAACAGTTAAGCCAGTTGTAGCAGTGATTGGCTGTGCCGCAGTTATCAAAGTGTCCAATCCCACGATTCGATCGGCGTGATTAGTAGCTGTATTTTTTTCGGCGGAAAACCACAGGAAAACCCCAGCAACACATCCATTATATAACTAAAATGGTGATTTAATGATGGTTTTATGGTGGTTTAATGGAATTTAATGGGATTTACCTGCTGATATACTGGGATTTACCATTATATAACTACAGTTATTTTAGATGAGGTATGTCATGAACCAACTGAGTGAAATTGGAGTTATTGAAACACAAACTTAGCGTTTTTTAACGCAGGCTTCCCCACAGGCAGGTCAGCCAGGCGGTGGCTGCAATCTCCTGGCCAAGGGAAGTGAGGGAGATGTCCATGGATGTTTGTAGATAGATACATAGGTATATCTATATCTAATAGAAGATAGTAAATCTATAAATAGAAGATGTAGACAGATGTGTTATACTACAATAGTCTCTAGACAAATAGGTAGTAGTATAATGTCCTATATCAACTATAGTAACATGTCTAAGTCTATCACAGCATCTAAAAATGCGTAGATAAATCGGTAAATAACTATATTGCTAAACATGTGAATACAGATAGGTATATCCAACACAAATATTGTTCTATAGTGTGTTTGTATGATCTCTCTATATATATATATATATATCTATAAACACCCTAAGGGTCCAGCCATGCCTCCTGAGCATTTGGGCTATGATATGGGGGATGAGGTCTATTCTCAGGAAGCGTTTGGATCCCTAGGAACATGTAAATATACACTCGTATACATATTACATATAATCGATGTTATCTAAATGGTACATATATATATATAAATAGTATAAACTTATAAAGCATATCACATTTACCCACTTAATGATGTTTGACTGTCTGTCAGTCTGTCTTTCCATTCCCCTGATATGTATATATATATATACACATCAAATATAATGTAAAGTGCAAAAGCCCTTTTCTCTCTATACAACAGGCTTTACCCCCTATTTGGATTTTGATGGTTCACTCTAACCACTCACCGATCTGGATCCTTAGTTTATCCATAAACAATGGTATATTACCTCAACATGCTGGCAGTGTCAGCGACTTGTATGGCTGACTGAGGGTCTACAATCATATGTCTATTGATAATATATATATATATATGTATGAACTGTACATCAGTGATTCTATATCATGGCCAATCTTAGATACCCCGCAAAAGTTAAGTTCTTAGCTGGTGAGCGTAGATAATCCGATTGATACCAAAAGACTAGTTAGGATTAGTTTCTACCCATCCAGTCGATTGACCTAGATATGGTTTTCCCATGGTTTTCCCTATGACCCTGGCCCATCTCCCAACCATCCACTGGATCCGCTGGATCCCCACCCGACTGTCGCTGCTATAAGAAATGCTGGCGCCCTCCAGCCACTGGTAGTTGCCACAGGAGCCGGGCCTTGGCGAAGGATATGTTGCTGTGAATTGTGATCTAGATATAGATTATTTTTTGTATATATCTTTTATATATATATATATATAGAGAGTCTAGTAAATAAATATATCTATATATATATAAAACAATATATATATATATTGTATATAAATAAACAAATAAATATAGATGTATAATATGATAGTATATAAACAAACAAATAAATATAGATGTATAATATGGAGGTTTCCATAAATCTGGGTACCCCCAAATAGATGGTTTACAATGGAAAATCCCCAGCAAAAACGGATGGTGGCTGGGGTACACCCATTTCAGGAAACCTCCATATTTAATGGTGTTGGTTATATATACAAATATGGTTAATTACTGTAATTGACCCATTAGCCACACTTTCTGGAAGACATTTCGCTGATTTCCTCTGGTAAACTGAAACATTTATGTGGAAAATCAACCAGTAGACCCCAAATCATTTGAAACGGATTTTCCATTATAACTTTTGTAACCCATCCAGCTATTGGGGACCCCCATGATTATGGAAACCACCATATCTTTAGATATTCTGGCTGATCCCGATTGCAGCAACCACCTTGATGGGCACCCTGGTGAATCATCCTTTGATTTTTTGTTCACCTGAGGGACAAAACAGAAAAAACTTTGAAGGTGTCTAAATCATGGAACCTTGCACTGCGAACGAATTAACACTCCGTAGAATGAAAGAACTATTCACATGCTGAGGTATTGATTCAAGGAAAAACCAAACAATAAACGAACAACTAAGAAAACAAAGTATATATTAAAAAATGTATGTATATATAAGTGTATATATATATAAATATGTGCGACGGTCGATACATGATACTGATTCCATGGTCATCAGTTTAGGGGGTATCGCTCCTCAAGGTTCCCTATCGCTTCACACAGTGGGAGCTCACTTTTTGCCAAACACAATAAATGTATTCATATAATTTTATATGTATATGTATTTTTATGTGTATATATATATATTAAAGAATATTTACCTATGTATGTATATATATATAGAGATAGAGAGAGAATATATACCTATATGGGGGTTGTTTTAAATTCTGGTGCGATGGAAGTTGGTTCGACTTCACGCACCATCGTTATACCGCCATGTTCTGTAGAAAATCCCCTCTGTGTGAGTTGCCCGCGGACCTCCAACATGGCGTCGTCACCACTGACAGGCAGCCATGGTGCCAAAGTTTTTTGATCCGGCTTCTGTCTGGTAGAAACACTGCTGACATCCTGTACAAGCTGTTCTTCAAAAATGCAATCATCAACAAAAGGCCACCAGCAACCCTTGCGACGATCCCAGCTGCCTCTCTGAACTCTGATGGCACATCAGAATAGTTTGGACGATCTGTCCCACTGCTGCAAAGATGACCACGCTGCTGCCTCCGTCTCATGGAAACTGGTTTTCTTCTCGCCTTGCTGTGGATCTGCTCTGAATGCCTGATATTTTATGCTCCTATCAGGGGGGGCACAAAATGAAGACAGGATGTGAGCTAACATTTGCCCTGGAAATCAAACAAGGCCGGCCCACTCCTGATGCAGAATCGCACTCTGGCACGTTTCGCCATGGTCTCACAGGACAGGTGGTGGCAGCAGCACGAAGGCTAGGAAATCCCGGTCTGGGGATACAGTTAAGCTCTTGCCATTGGATTTCAGGCAGGCCCAGCTAGATAAAACTCCCAAACGCAAACCTGCTGGATGAAACCCTTGGTGCTGGCCTTACATGCAACGCCAAACATATATAAAGCAACATATCCTGCATAAATGTTCGGCTAGACCCCTTAGATCTTAGGCAGGACCACCAGACGAGGATCTAGGATGTTGCCATGACAACATATTTGCACTACTTAAGGGGGTATCGCTCTTCAAGGTTCCCTATCGTTCCCCACAGGAAATCACACGTTTTTGAAAGTGACGGCGGCCGAATACATTATCTCTACATAGCATCTTTTGACCTTGCTCATATGTCTTCTGCACTTTTGGCATTTTCAAACAACTGCGAATCTTTGTTGAACTTCGTGTCCTCTCAAGGCTCCCCGCGTGCAGCTGACTGGTGGCAAGAAAGTGGGAGCTGCCTCGCCGGCATGAGGATGTTTCACCATAAATTTCATAAATGATTGTGATTTATTGGCTGCGGATATACATGCCGGCAATCAAACATGGCTGGGAAAATCCTCGAATACTTCCAAGATGCCCATTAAAACGGTTGCCCTACTATGCATTATCATAATCCCCAATCAGCCAGGTAGTATAATTCCTCTCAGGCTTATATCAGCTATATGGGTTATATTATGTTATATTACTAACCATGGCTAATAATAATATTATTAATATCATATATATAAAATATCGATATATACTGGGTTAATCTTCAATAATGGGTTATGGCTTAAGCCCCGGTAGCTATGGCTTTTTCCAAGATCTCTTGGCCCCACCTCCGGCATCATCGACTCGGTGCTGCAAGTGCTTTGCAGCCCCGAGGGAACGTAGCCAGCGCGGCAGAGCAACTTGCAGGTCTTAGTCACAACGACCGCAACGGGGACCGAATCATGGGAATCATGGGATGCTGCAATGGATGGTTCATGCTAACCAAATCTGATGCTTATGGATGGTTGTGGATGGTTATGGATTATAGATGGTTATGGATGGTTACCATCTGGTAAATGTTTACATAACTATGGAAAGATCCACCATTTTTAATAGGTAAATCAGCTATAAATGGGACATGTTCAATAGCTATGTTAGTTTACCAAAGGGTAATACTAAAAATCGAAAAACAACAATCTCTGGGCTCTGCCCCAGACCTGACATTTTGACCCACCCATTTCAATGCAGCAATAGGCCGAAAATATCGCCAGTTATAACTGGCTAAAAACGCCCTAGTTGCAGGAGTTCATCCCATTTAGAACTGTGCCCATGACGGTGTTTTTTTTTAAACTTGATTCAAACAAACCATTTCATGGGGATAGAATCGGAATATCTACGGAATATCAAGGAGGAAATTGATGAAATGACAACTTTACGGGCCCAAGGATGAACTCTCCCAATTTTCGTGGGGGATTCAACTGATGAAACCAGGGATTCGATATCGATCATGGGGATATGTGGGGATACAAGCAACAATATGGGGACGAGTGACACTCCCTGGTTGATGGCTATGGTTATTGATGGCTATCTATGGTTATCTAGGTTTCTAAATGTTTCTAATGAGTCCATAACCTCTAGAGAGTCAGCTAGAAACAGCTGCGACACCTGATTTTTCTCGACAGAGCTATGGGTAACACATGTGGAGCTGAGATTCCAACATATTTCAACATATGGAGCTATGGTTTACGGGAAAATTTTCAAGAAACCACCCATACTTCATGGCAAAAAAAAATATAGGACCGGATAACCCCAGATGTTAACAACTTCTCCAGACTTGGACTGAGCATAGAAAAGCAACAAGGGGAGAGGAAGTATGAGAGTGATGGAGGGGTGATGGTGGGTGAGTTTGTGTGTACGTGTGTATGTGCATGTACAGGTGTGTCACTTTGGTAGTGTGTTAACGATATGTGTACCGAGTGTAAGAGGCAGGTTGTAATATATGTGATGTACATACGGATGTTATACGTGTGTGTATGTGTGTGAGGTGATATTATTTTCATGTGATGTGAGGTTGGATGGCAGTACTTAATGTACATGCATGCAAACATAAATATACTGATCTTGTTGCATGTGACGTGAAGTTATGATGCGTCAAGTGATGTTTCCCGCCGCACAGCGTGTACTTTGATCTTCCCCACCTGCAGGACAACTGCGTCCATAGGATGTATGCCCCGCGCGTGTGAGAGGCAGGAGCCGGAGCGCCCCTTGAGCCCAAATGGCTTGAGCCATCACAAAATTGGCAACTAATTAACGCCCAATCGTCCGGTGTCAGGGTCTTTAGCACCGCGATGGCCCTCTCACGCTAATATGGACAGCAGCGGGCTCCTAACCACAAGATGAGGAGTAGCCACGTCACGGCTTGGAGAAAGAGTGAGGCCAGCCACTGCGACTGATGAGCGCCCATCGGAAGTGGGCCACGCATGGCCACGCGCCAATGGGAAGGCCCCCGGCAGAGCCTGCCTTCCGTGCATGTTCTCTATCTGAGGATCATCCAGACAGGCCCAACACAGATCGGCCATCCAGACGCCGATCAGCAAAAGGGTCACCGCCCCACTCAAAGCCGCTAAGAATTTCGCTATCTCAGGCGCCTGGTTACAACTCAAAAACACCCACAGCGTGCCGTATTCTATGCCTACGAAGGCAAAGATCAGCACTAATTATCAGGAATGTGACCAGGCCAAACACCAGCCTCAGTATGGCGGCACCTTCGAGTGGCCGAAGCCTTTCCACGGGCACGGTGTCACCACCACGGTGCGGGCAGGACGGGTCCGAAGGCCGGAGGAGGACTGTGATCTCTGCCTTCAGGACCCGTCCTGCCCGTACATGCGGCGCCTGGAATGCCAGACGCCCCATCAAAATTTTGGGTCCTTATAATAGCGACCTGGACCTGTTTGGCGCTGTTGAATTTAGGAACAGCCACGCTATTTGCCGTATTTCTGATCACGGCCCTTTGCGCGATTACATTTGTCAAGTGCAAGAGGTGCGTGACGCTCACCGCACAATACTGTGCCGGTATCCTCGAGAATGTGATGAGTGGGACAATTGCAACGCAGCCGGTTCGCCACTAAGTCCACATGACTGGCACACTGCGAAAACCGCCGGACCCTGACGTCCCAGTGACCAACTTGCCTGCTCTCGTAGCTCTCAACACATCATGTCCCACAGCTGGTACACCAGGGCCCCTCCGTTGCTCGCCTGCAATTCCTGCATGTCACCCAGGAAAGCCGCAAGTGCCTCACCAGCCACTTCTGCATTATCGGATCCAGCCAGCCAAAGCATCTCCCGCTTCTGGGTGCGGTTTGATAGGCCCACCCCTGCACACCACTGTTTATCAGGTTTTGGGCATGCATCAGTTGGCAGGCAAGCCCCGCAGAAAATTTCCTCGACGAGGTCGCGTTCAAAGACGCAACCGCGGACGAAGGACTTGCTGCAAGTGCCAGAATAGTAGAACTCAAAACAAAGACCTGCACATTTCAAGGATTTGGCACCTCCATCAGTAGCGCTCCCAGGCCCCTTGGGCCACGCCAGCAACACGGACGCCACACCACCCGCTTTGTAACCTAACGCATAGCGGGAGCACCAGCTGTTCAAGATTTGGTCTCCCAACCCCACAGAGGAGCAACGCCAGCAGAGGTTCATCATCGCACGCAGATATGAAGTGCGCTGCTTGACAACGGGCCAGGCCCTGGGATTCTCAGCGCTTGCAGTGTTTCAGGATGTTATGGGCTGCAAGCAGTGGGTCTACTTGACATGACGAACATTGGGCAGTGAACCTATGCAATGTTGTGATGATGTATATGTGCTGTGTTCATGTTGTGCGTGTCTGTGTACATATAGTGTGTGTACGTGAGTGCGTGGTTGTGCGTGTGTATGGTCATATGGTGATATGGTGATATGTTTGCGGCATATATACAAGAATCCGATGATGTATGTTTCAGTTCATATGTATATATAATCCTCCCGTCGCTTTGCAGAATTTTTTGCTTCTAGGCATATCGGTTGTCCAAGTGCCATAGACCAGCATCATGACCTGAGCAAACACAATGAATAGACAAGCCATGATAAGCTCACAAGCAATCAATCTGAATGAGCTGAGTTGATACATCGCCGTGCCCTTTGCAGTGCACCAAGTCCCACGCCTGCCACGCAAAAGCCACCGGCAGAGCGGCGGAGACCAAGGGACACCGGAGGGACACCGGAGGGACACCGGAGGGACACCGGAGGGACACCGGAGGGACACCGGAGGGACACCGGAGGGACACCGGAGGGACGCCAGGGCGTTCCGACCCCTTTGCAGTGCACCAAGTCCCGCGCCTGCCACGCAAAAGCCACCGGCAGAGCGGCGGAGACCAAGGGTGATATGTGTGTGAGTGCGTGGTGTGTGTGATTGGGATGTATGTGTGTGTGAGTGTGAGGTGTGTGTGGGATGTGTGTGTGTGAGTGATGTGTGTGCGAGTGAGTGTATGTGTGATGTATGTGTGAGTGAGATGTGTGTGTGTGTGCGTGTGTGTGTGTGTGTGTGGTGTGTGTGTGATTGGGATGTGTGTGTGTGTGAGTGATGCATGTGTGAGTGAAATGTGTGTGAGTGTGTGGAGTGTGTGGTGTGTGTGAGTGATGCTGGATGAGTGAGGTGTGTGTGAGTGGGAGGACAGGCGGGAGGAAGGAGGAGCGGATACAGCACTAAAAACAAAAACTCCACACGTCAATGTGGGGAAAAATGGTAAACCAATCCATTTTATATTTCGAAGCAGCAAAATTGCTGGAGATTTCGTTCATCGCCACTGGTGGCATCTGGGGTTGAAGCTGGATGAGCCTGCTGCCGGGTCACCTGTACAAATATGTACAATTTGTATTATATAAATATATATGCATTGATATACATATTATATACAGACACAAATTATCCACAACCACAAGTAAATATATAATTATCAAGTTATCTTACTTTATCTATAAACATTATATACACATCATGTATGTGTATGTATATATATATATATATGTATGTATACATAAGATACAAGTTATCCATATACTGTCAATGTCTGTGCAGCGTTTCACCAGATCAACCTGAGAGGTCCCCACTGCACCGAAGAAGGGGCCACCGTATTCTTGGCAATCCAGACCTGTCGGCTGTGCCCGAGAATTTCACAGCTTTACTCTCTGGTAAACTAACTTTCTGAACTGGAAAATCATGGTTCTGTTGTCTTATAAGTGGTTTAACTATGGTTTATGGTAGATATAACTATAGTTCATGGGGGTTTACAAACCAACTTATAACTGGGGGGCCCATCCTGTATGTCTATGTTAAATTACCAGAGGCTTTTTTTCTAGCTTTGCCACGGTTCAAAACCTCATCCTGTGGTGACTGAAAACCATCTCATGAATGTGTAAACCCCATTATAAGTTGGTTTGCAAACCCCATGAAAACTAGTTCGTGATATGTACCATCAACCATAGAATTCAACCATCTTTAAGACAACTTAACCAATTTCAATGGCAACAAATTAGTGTACCCCCTCTGTTTTCAAGGAACAGACCCGGAAGTGGAAGATATAATATATATATATATATATCCGATATATCCATCCGAAAGATGCTCCCCTGGTTTCAACCCATCGCAACTGTATGGAAAAAAACTGTGGAGAAAATTTAAACAGTAGAAGAATTCATGAAAATATAAGGGTGGGATGGGTTTACGATCATTAAACATCATTAAACAGAATATATGGAACATCATTTCCACCCAGATTGTTTGATGACTTCTATATACATTAATGATTTACATCATGTCAAAAAGGATTTCTTTTGAAACGAAGGTTGTTTCGGCTCGTTTTGGGATCACCAAGGCCTAGAAGTTTGATTAGAGACAATCCCAGCGAGGCAAGGGATTGTGTCTGTGGGCGTGGATAAGAGAACTAGAGGTCACCCGCCATCTGTATGGAAGATTATGGAAGTATGTATACATATAATATAAATATATATATATATATTCTATATCAATATCTATATATATATATATCATTCCTTCTTCTTTCTCAAATCACTTGTCATTCCATTGCGCGTGTCGCTTTGAAGTTTCTTCAGTCTATCTATAGTCTATACCCAACGCCGATTCACCAACTTCTTGCTGAACCTGCCGTTGGCTAGGTCTGCTTGGTGGGTTGAAGCCAATTTTCTGACAACCAACTCATACATTGGGTGTTTTCGAGCCATACTTCCATGCCAAAACAACGGTCCATTAAAAGAACATCCTTAGACATCCTTAGACCACATATTTCAAAAACATGTTTGTTGGTGATTAAGCCGCATCCCAACAGCCCTTTCTTGGAGGACTCCCCAATAAGTCGAAAAAACAACAGCTGGTGATGCGTCCAAGGTGCGGCCATTGCTCAACGCTGACCTGAAATTTTTGCATCGTCATTCCACAGCTGTGCGTAGCCAAAACGACCGCAATGTTTGCAGGAGGCATTATGAAGTGTATAAAAAGTCTATTTTGGGGGGTTCCTAAAATAGGGGGTAGCCTCTGGTAATTTAACATAGCTTTTGAACATGGCAATTTATAGTGAATGTTCCCATTAAAAATGGTGGATCTTTCCATAGTTATGTTAGTTTACCAGAGGGTACCCCCAAATCATCAAGTTCATTTACGGATAATCCATTATAAATTTGTTATAAGCCACCCATTTTTTGCGATGACCTCGCTACAAGTCCCAGTGTCACTCGGCAAAGCCGAATCTGTTTTGTGGAGGACCGGCGAGGACCGGCATTTTTTTAATGGACATAGTATACATAGACACAGCATATACATAATAGTGTACATATACATAATAGTGTACATATATATATATATATATGTACACTATACATACATACATACATATATATGTATAATAATAATTATATTATATATATATTACTATATCGACAGAGCTGTAGGAACTCTCTACGGATTTTTTCATCAGCACCCGAGAAAGAGGACGAATTATCGACTGTGCGCACCATCCAAGATCATTACTATATAGAAATCCCTTTTACATAGGTATCAATTGGTATTGCATGGGTACTCATATACCTATGAAAACAATGGATATAGTAGTACCATGTAATACCATGGTCAACTTCCATTATTTCCAGTACTATTATACTATTTCAATTACTCATGATATTAACGGGTATATCAATGAGTATATTAATGGTATTAATTGGATGTATATATGAATGGGTATATCAATTATCCATTATATAATTAAACCATCTTAAAACCATAGGTATATACATATATATATATATAACACACCAGCAGCGAGTATCCATTATACCCATTATAACATATTATAACCATATTAAACCATGGATATCCATTGTATTCTACCAATCTTTAACTATAGCCCATGGGTATCCATTGTGTTCTTATAGTACTATTACCAATGGTTTACTATTTCCATGATTTTCATTACTCATTATACTATTATACTATTCAAATAATATCATAGTCATGGAATAGCCATTCTATTATTATAATGAAGATATTCATGGGTATTCCAAGTATAATATAATTCTATAATATAAGATTATTCTATAATACACTATCTCCCATTCTAAGTATACTACCATCTGGTTATTTAACATAGCCATGGAAAATCACCATTTGTAATAGGTAAGCCTTCTATAAATGGGTCATTTTCCATGGCTATGTTAAATGACCATAGGGTATCCTAATATCCCATGACTGTGTTATAATTGAGGTATTATCCCATGACTGTAATATACTATTACCCCAAAATATCCCACATCTAGCTGGGTAATAACCATAGGGCAATAGTATACTATTATACTATTATCTTCCGGCGAGTTGCGAGAGTTCGCATTCTTGTCTCCAGCAGCTGGGAGCCTGGCTCTTTCGGCACCATGGCACGTTAACGTTGGTGGGATCCCCTGGGGGAAACACAACCAAAAAAGTGGGGAAAACCATGGAAAACCAATGGAAAACCCATGGAAAAGCATGGAAACCCATGGAAAACCCCAAAATATGGGATCTACTGAAGTTCTGATTTTTGTTTGAGAAAATGGGAGTCGAAACTGGATTTAATGATGTCTAACTTTATGACCCCGTGTAGAACAGAGAAAGTGGATTTTAGCAAAAAAAATAAAAAAACAACACCAAAAACAACAACAGAATCACCAAAAAAACAAATCGACAGGAAGAATCACCAGAAGAAACAAGAAAAAACAAAAAAACAAAATAATAAAAAAACAAAAACTGTGGAAAATGCAGGTTTTGATTTTTGTTTGAAGTTTTTTTCTTGTTTTTTCCTTGGTTTTGGTTTTCTAGTTTGTTTTTTTGTTTGCTCTGGTTTTGTTTTTTTTTTTATTTTTTTTTGTCAAACCCTATATTCTCTGTGTTGTTGGACTCATAAGTCTAACTTCATACCTAGTTGGATTAGTGGATTATATTTGTTGGATTGCCAGTAGTTATCATCCAGCTTATGATGGATAATTAAAATGATGGGGAACACAAAAAAGGTGAAAACGGAGTCCCCCAATTTTGAAAAAGACAGACTTGAGGATGGACATACCATGACATATCCGAGCCAAAACAGGTATCCGCCAACAGCGTCGGTGCCTGGAACTGCCCCTGTTGGCAGCGGAAGAGGTCGTCCACCTGTCAAAGAGACCGGGAGACGACAAGTCTCCATTTAGTCCTGGTTGGTTAAGAACGGGATTCCCCAGTCTTGGGTTATGACATACCCTCTTGTAAACTAATAGTTTGCTATTGAAAATGGCCATTTCTAGTGGATTTACCCATAAACAATGTGATTTCGTGGTTGGTGGTGCAATAACCATCTTGAAACATATGAGTTCGTCAATGGGAAGGATGACATCCCATATATGAAATGGACAAACAAAATCATGTTTGAAACCACCAGTCTTGGATTATGACATAATCTCCCCAATATATCAAGGGTAGTATAATCCCTGAACTAAGCAGAAAAACTAACAGGCTGCTCAAATGAGATGGGTGTTTATTGGTTGAAATAACTACAATGTGGAGCCACCAGATGGAAGTTGGTTTAGAAACCCCATTAACATCTATTACATCCATTGACTACAGCTACAAGTATCATGAACCAAAGTCACTGGACTTATAAACCAACTTAGCTATCTAGGGCCCACTACATTTGTACGATTTCTGGCTTTTGTGGTGCTTATAACTTTAGTTGTATGAGGGTTTCATCATCGAACGTATGGGGAGTTGAGTATCAAACAAGGACCAAACTGTGGGTTTTTCCCTCGCAATTTTTTCAGGGATTTGCCCTGGGGGATTGAACCAACCCAAGGGGGACTTGCCTCCGGATGTTTGATCTGAAAAGTTGTACCCGCAAATCCCATCACGTAGCCTAGTAAAATGGACCCATTGGGGGTATCAGATCCAGACAATACCAACTTTTGCTCCGGATGTTTGATCTGGAGATGTCAGCTTTTGTGGACAGAATGGGAAGAACCTAGACCTAGACATCCCGTGAAGAGTTCATGAAAAACAACACAACTGTTAGCATAAACACAATTTTTTTGTGGTAGATTGAGGCTTACAGGCGGGATTTCCAGGTCTAAGGATTTCCAGTTCCATTTTGTTCGACTTGTTCGTTTCGCTTTCTGGACAGCTCTGGGATTGATATTGCACCAACAATTTGTACAATCAACCATTGAGGGACCAGATATATATATATATATATAGATACTGCATGGACCAAACAAACTGGAGATTTGGAAAATACTTAATTACATATTACCTTACAACAAATGGTCATGCTTAGCATTTGTAGAGTGTCTCCTTGGGGTACAGTGTAGCGGTACCATACTGCGAATGTGTCATGGATGATTGAATTCTGACGACGCACACACAGAGCGTTCTCCACTGAAATCCAACGCAGGATCGGGTACATCTACTCGCACGACAGGGCCATCTGATCGTCGACTATTGGTCGCCAAATGTTCCAAGGCCACTTTCACCCATTCGCCCTGTCCTTGATATACACTTCGTCTTTGGATTTCGTATGCACGAAATTGTCACGTCACATATATACAAAATCATACAAAATCAATACTCAGCATGCTGAAGCGCCTATGAACCCACAGCCCTTCCATCATCAATGTTTTGTCGGTGATTCCTTGGTTCATCTCCCATTTGTGACAGCTTACACCTCTTTATATGTATATATGTATAATTATATATATATACATATGATTATATATGTTTACCTGGGTTGTCCTAGAGGTATGCTCTAAACATGGCATAGAATCCACCGGTTCATCGTCATTTACCGGTTTTCACATAATGCAATCCCATTAACTCCCAGTAAATCCTGCTGATATGCCAAGATTTACCCCAAAATGGCCATTTTGATAGGACCACTGATGATAAACCATGATAAACCCATGCTTTGATAGCCAATAGCACTGAATTCCACACCTTCCATCCAGGAAGGCACAGTGCTGCACAAAGGCCGCCGTGAACCAAAGGACTAGCGGACGGGTGTAGGCCATGGGAAATTCATGGGGATCTACTGCAACCAACAACCAACTGATCGAAAAGCACGGGGGTGAAGAAATCCATAGAAATCCGAGCCGAGAGCGGATCGACTTTTTCTACTTTTTTCGGAGCTTTAAGGGAGCTTTTCCCATCCACTTCTGGGAGGTTTGTAGAAGAACTGACCTGGTAGGTGCTCTTACCTTGAACTTGAAGATGAAAGCATCAAAATTGGGACCACGGTCTGATATCATCTGATCTTAAACACATGATTGAATATATGCTATCTAAGTACATCAAACTGAATCCAGGGTTTCAAGTGGGACTGCAAGAAGGTGTCTATTAATATGGCTGGATGAAGGAACCAAACATCTCACTTGGAAGGAACAGGTATCCCTGAAGTTATATTAAAAAAACATACTGTAGATTCTTGATTTTGGATATTCTAGCTGAAATGATAATCTACCCAAATCCAAGCGAGCACGTCGTAATTTGTTCGTTCTGAATATGATTCTTTCGATGGACATCCTGCAGGGCATGTGGATCCCCACAATGGATGTTGGAATACCTGGAATACCAAAAAAAACACAGGCACATGGATAAACAGGATGATTGACCTCTAAAAATGACCTTTAAACACTTGATGAGATGTTTGAGGATCAACTTTTTGACATATCCTAATCCGATGATCGACTTAATATAGCCTAGTTTGATGATCAACTTTTAAAAGATAACATGCATCTCTGATGATATCATATGATATATGATAATATAATATAATATACACTTCTAAGACATAATGATTCATAATGTCTACACAGATTGATGATTTTACCTTCACCATTTACCCACTCGTTCTCCCCGAGTTCCCCCACTTGCTGGACGAGATGTTGGGACCTGGAAGCGCCGGATCGATGCGCCATTGGATTGTTGTCTTTCTTTAAGGCCCCATATAAAACAACATAACCATTATTTATGGATATATCAACACAATAAGCCATCTATGGATATAGTTATACCATGTTATACCTCATTTATGACCGAAAATTCAGGCCCCATATCCACATTAGCTCACCATGGTGCTGGAATATGAATCCCAACATTTGCCCAAAAGTCCAAAATCACCCTGATAAATGTAGGTTAATATACCATATTGTTAAGTACAAGTCGAAATCGTAAAAGGATGGTCATTACTGTTCGAAATACCTGCGGCAGGGAAAAACCTTCGAAGGACAAAAAAACCCTGCCGCAAACGACAAAGAGTGAACAAAACAACAGCGTGGGATCGCTGCATGCCAAGAGAGGCCAGCTGAAAGAGCCCCCCCAAAAAAACAGCATAGGCATAGGTGGAAAATCCGTTCGGTCACCAAGAGTGCAAGCGCCACAGCAGAGAGCAAGCCCTTGGGGCAAAGAGCTCTGCCAACATGCCATATTCCATAGTGGAACTGAGTCGCTTTCGAGCCCATTTCAAGGCATGAAGATTGTCACCTCTACCTGGAAATCGATGACCTCCATGAGAGTTTTTTGTGGAATTCTGACATCCCCAAGATTCGCTGAATGGAGATTAGCTTCATCAAACTTGAATCGCTTAGAAACTATCTCGGCGGCTTCAGATAAAATTGCATCCGGGATCGGACAACTAAAATCATCTTCGATGCCATGCTTCTCACCAGCCATGAGACCAGATCTTCTTTCTTCCACTGACCATGACGCACGCGTCCGAATTGTACCATACATGGAGCATATGGGATATAAAACAAAAAACAACATGGAAAACTGCTTCATGGATGTTTTTTCTTTGGTCGGTTTTTCAGACTCACAAAGAGTGTTACAGCCAAAGGTGATCTCCATACATCGTCATGGCACAAAATATCCACCATTTGATGGTTGGAAACTCAACTCAGATTCTGATTGGTGGTTTCAACCCATTCCAAAACATATTACTAAAATTACCTAGGGTAAAGTAACAAATATGTGGTTTCGACCCACCATTTGAAGATCGTTTTCCTGGGTAAACCATGGGTTTCCGCATCTATGTTATATAGTTCGCCCTAGGACATATACATATATATATATAGTTTGTGTTTATAGTCAGTTTGCATCATTATACCGACAATTAGGAAAAAAACAGATTAAACCCCCCAACTAGACGTGTTTCATGGCCTGTATACCTACGTAGGATGTAGGAATCACTG